CGAATCGGATTGTGAAGCCCATGTACACCATATGCTTAGAATCGGAGTTTTCCAGCTCCCAGCATGTCCACCAGTCCTGTTGTAAGTGCCAGGCGTTCCTGTTCTCCTGTACACTTTCGTGAGGAAAACCCCCGCCACGTGGTGTCAGTGAAAGGACCTACTTTGCAGGGGCTACGAATGCATGGTCATATGAGAGCTCTTCGAGAGTAAGACCGAATTCTGCCCACCCTAGGTCGTACTAGGTAGTTTTTAAAAGCCACCTTCATTATTGATATTTCATGAAGTTCCTTAGTCTGTTGTCACTTACCAACCTTGATTTTATTCACTACCTCTATGCTTCACACATAAAGCGTGTCCACTTAACTTATAAGCTTACGTCTCCTCTGTCCTTCAACGTGAAGGGAGCCAAAAAATGTACACCATGGCCTAGATTTGAACATTTCATACTAGTTCATTTAAAACAGCAAAACAATGGATGGTAGATAAGGGAAAGAATGGTAAGTGGTATTATGGTTTGAAAAGGATACTGTTTGAATGTATCTGCGTCATTGTCATTGATTTTTTGTTATATCGTCTAATGTTTACAACCATAGAACATGATTGTTTTTTGGTGTGGTTGTGTACTGTGATCTGAATGGTTTAATTGAGAAGCTTTCATTGTCTTTCTAGACGATATGTTCAGCGCAAGCTTTAATATTGAAGTCTTCTCCTCCAACTTCTCCATGATTGATTCACAGGCATTACACAATTCAGACCAGTGGCAACTGACATTTTCCTAGCTTTCTTTGACTTTTGTTGAGCTTTCAGCCGCCTATTTTTATTCTCATACTGCTTTTATGAGCTGATTCATTTTTACTGTTTTAACCAATAATAACATTGTGAGGTAACAAGAGGATAACTGATTGTTAGAGTGACATTGAAACGTAGTTGACATTTGGATAAGTAAATTACTAGACATTTTCCCGGGTGCAATTGTACTTTTTAAAATGTACAAAGATAACACTACACTCAGTTTTATTAACTCTCTTGTTGAGAGAGGAAATATATATATAAGGAAGGATTATAAAACCTAGAAATTTCTTGTAAGGTGAATAATGCGTTTCCATTTTTATAACGGCTGAGTAGTTTCAGTGGCATGAGTTTGTTCCTTTTCGTATGTAAACATATACGCTGCTAACTTCCACTGATCACATAAATCATATCCCCGACGCAGTTGAAGTTCAGTGACTGACTTTTAACGTAAAATACTTGATTTATGAGGGCTGTAAGTACTACTCTAATTCTCCGGGTCGAATTAGTCGGAACCTTATCTTAACCCTGGATCCAATGGTTGAAAGACCAGCGCCTAGCCCAGTTACTCACATCTTCACATCCTAAACTAATGATTGCATACATATTAAATATTGTTGCCGTCTACACTAAATAGTCTACATGAACTAACATTCGAATGGAAGCGAAAGATGAGTGCATAATTATGATACAAGTTGCGTATTATTTAGTAAATATGATTTGTGTTAAGTCACTATGTCTCGTTGAGATATAACTTAACCACATACATATATCCCTTTTGTTTTTAGCATTACTGACTATGAAGATCCTGAAGCGCGTATGCTAGCATTTGTTCAATGGTATCTTACTACATTTCATGCTGGAAAGAAGGTTCGCTCTTTTAAAGTTACTTTTTATCTATCTATTTTTATTTATCTGTACAAATGTGCTCGTTTTCAGGTGGTGATAATAGTTTTATGTGGTCTGATTTATTCTTAAGGTATTAGGATTAGAGTAAAGTATAGGGACTCATACGAACAACCGTCGAACTGACTTTGGATGAACAATCAGATAAGCCCATGGTAAGAACGCGTAATTTGAAAATTTTTGTAGAAATCAAAGTAAGTAGTAAAAACAGTTATACAGGATAGCTATCTCTTGTATGTGCTACGACTGTCCCTCAGTGTTTCACAAGAGTCCTTAGTGTTACTCCAGACCAATTTCTGCATATGAATATGTCTGTATCAACAGAAGGCAAGGGTTAGGCAACAGGTCGTTTATTTAAGAAACCAACAGATATTTATAGATTTTCATGTACATTATTACAGATTATTGTAAGCAAACAAATACAGTCTTCTGATTGGTAGTTTTTTGCTGGACGTTAATTTTTCATCTCTTTGTGGCCGTTTATTGAAGTTCAGATTATCTATCTTCAAATTGTATCCGCCTACGCAAAGTCTGCTGTGATTGATTGTTGAGTTAGTCTTTGTTCTTATTTTTCTCATGATCAATATTGGGGACGTAAACATTGACGTAAATTACTGTCTACCAATTTTGGCTAGCAGCCAGCTCTCACCACATGTCGAGATTACTACATTGTGAATGTAGCCGAGTGAAGACAAATGCATTTAACCACTCCATATCCATCAACGACAGCTACCCATCTCTGTAGATTTATTATTCCTCCATATACACATGTTTTATTCCTTAATATAAGTCCATTATCCACACACCATTAAAATGCTAGATTTGAATGAAATTCGCAGTGTATATCTTGCACTTCATCCGTCTCCTCAGGGTTTTACTATTGGCTAATCTCTTCTATTGTTCAAGGTCATTTCAATGGTCGTTCACTGGGGTTGGTATACTTTACCTTAACTGATATTAACTGATGACCTATTAGTGTTATTCATTTATCACAGAATTTATGACATTTGATGATTTCTTGTGTTTATATGCATATGGTGAAATCAGTATATGCGCTTCATTCATCTGTGCGTCGGTGGCACAGTGGTTAGGACTCTCGCCGACCATGCACATGGTCCGGGGTTCGATCCCCTGCCGGCGCACTCCCGATATCTATGGTCGGCCTGTAAATTTGGGCTACCGATATCCATGCTGAAAATTCCATACATGTACTCAAAATACGGTGTGGAATCAAGCTGTAAACAAAAATAAAAAAAAAAAAATAAGAATAGAATTTGAGAACTGTGGTAGAGTATAATTCCATTATGGAATAATTTTATTTGATAAAAGCATACAGTGATGAAGTTTCTAGCACAATTTATTGCTCATAAGGCACTCACATGACTTTGTTTAGATAGTAGTTCCGAGATTACTTTTCTTTTGATTTTATTGGCAGTGGTATTTTTCTTATCTATGGTTTTGGCGTGGTATCATTCCTATCACACTTGTTAAGTGTAGGTCTTGAAATAAAATGTGTAGATTTGACGGACAAAGACTCAGTGATCAACTTCTCCCTCCATGTACCTGTATTACGTTTTAGAACTATAGTTCTTTACCACTGTATTCTGTTAACGCGTGCACTGAGAACGTTGAGTTTTCCCTAAACTGTTCATCTTCCTTAGGTCAGTCATTCTATACTTAGCTAAATTCCTGTGTTTCGACAACATAATTGATCCCGATCCACTAATTTGACCTATGTAGTTAGCCTTAAAGCCATGACAAGGTATTTTGTGTAATTGGGCTAATAAGGTCTTTCAGGCTACATAGCTTGTCCTTGAGTGGGTTAGAAGGTTTCAGTGTCACTCCAATTCCTGCTTTATTGAGAATCCTCTATAGGGTTTCAGATGTCACTTCTTTATATAGTGAAACTATAGATGTCCTAAATTCTTTCCTATTTATGTTATGGTCAGAAGATCCACAAATTTTTTTCTTACTGTGAGCTTTTTCCATCTTCCTAGTGAAGTTTATGGAATAGTTATTTAGTATCACTGCCTCTTCTACCTATTTCATTTCATTACTTACTTGGAGTTGTCACTCGATTTGTTAGACATTTAACTAAGCTTACCTTTACAGATAAAGGCTTGGATGACTTGAAGTCTAAATATTTATTAGAGTGACTTGGCTTTTTACAAACACTAGTGCATATATAGTTAACCTTCTGCCAATCAGTTTATGTAACAATGTAACATAGCTAAGTTTCCTTGTTTATTTAATAACTCAAATGTAAATTTAATTCCCCCTAATACTGAGTTTATTTGTGTGAAGAAGCTAGAGATTTATTTATTTATTTTTGATTACAGCTTGATGCCACACCGTATTTTCAGTACAAGTATGGAATTTTCAGCATGGATATCGGTAGCCCAAATTTTGCAGGCCGACCTTAGACATCGGGTGTGCGTCGGCAAGGGATCGAACCCCGGACCATGTGCATGGTCAGCGAGAGTCCTAACCACTGTGCCACCGACGCACATGTGTTAGGATTAAATGTTCTAAGAGCCACATTTTCCCAACTATGCACAAAGATATCTGCTACGATTGGGAATATGAGTGACTCCACTGCTACGCCTCTGTTTGTGTATATTTGTAGCTTAGAGAAAAACTCAGCAATCACAATTCGTTGCATTAGCACACAATCACACAACAGATTGGGACAGAAACTACAGTTCTAAAAAGTAATATAGGTAATTGTAGGCAGTGGCTGGAAGTGATTTGAGTGCCTCAAAATGATTATGAGCAATAAATTGTGCTCGAAATATCATCAGTAAATAAACGCACTGTATAACTGTGCGTTTTTTTTCTGTGATGCAACTTATGAGCTGTTCAAAGTGATGTTATTCAGTAGACATGATTAGCATCCTCGATCATCTGAAGTTTTTTGGGCGTGGTTTGTTGTACTTTGCTAATTACTACTTTCACTGTTAATGAAGGTAAAAATGGGATAGAAGCGACTTCACTGCAAACAAGTAAGTACATGCTACTCATCATGTAGAGACTTTGAATGTTATCATAAACTACACTGAAGTTGAACTGACAACCAGAAGTCAATAGTTGATAACTGTGTATACAACTAAGCCTTATTTTTCTCTAAATTCTCTGTTGGACACTAGTTCACATATTGATTACTTGTCACCTCTGAATGCCTTTTCCCCCTGAAGACCCTTACTTTTTTTCACTTTCAAACACTTGCACTTTAAAACGAGTTTCTTTTACTTAACTTTAACTTCAGTAGCATTGATATTTTGAAATTATATTCTCTTTTTTTAAAGGACAGAATTGCTAAGAAACCGTATAATCCTATTATTGGAGAGACATTTCATTGCAGTTGGCTCATTCCTGCTGGTGATAATTTAAACAATGGATGCTCTCTACTAGAGCCATATAAAGATAAATGCAAAACATCACATAGTAATAATTCACCTATAATAATAAGATACTGTGCTGAACAAGTATCACATCAACCTCCTGTGACTGCTCTTCATTTTTCTTGTCCTTCAAAGAAAATGGAATTGACTGCATCGATATGCACTAAGTCAAAATTTCAAGGAATGAGTGCTTATACTGCTATCTTGGGAAAACGTAAGCATGCACATTTATTTTGGTGAAAATTTCTTGTCAGTAACACAGACTCAGTTAATCAAAAAGAAATGCAGCATTTTAACTTTCATTTTATCACCAAGTACACTGAGAAAACTGTAGATAAGTGGAAAAATTTTCAACTGCTTGTTTTCAGGGATTTGATTAATTTCAAATTTGATCATGAACTGACTTCAAATAGAAAACCATCGGAAACCAGGGGGTACTAGGCATCTGTTTCGTCATTGTTTGTGACTCTTCATCGGTATACACCCGTGATCTTTAGATTATGAGGCTAGCTGGTTAACTAATTCACCCACAGCGGTACTTATTAAGTGACTTATATTTTCATCTATGTGATGGAGCAGAAAAGAAAGTGTTGCTATTAATTCTGCTCTGAACTACACTGTAAAAACCACGTTTAGAAAATGATCAATTAGATCACTTAGTGCAATAATAAAATAACAAAACTTGTTAAATCCACTCTCAACTGACACTCCTGAATCTCGTCTGTCCGTTAAACTTGAAAAAGAGGGAAGGTTTGGCATGAGATTAGCCATTCCATCTCCGTAAAAAAATACCACCGCGACTAAAAATTCAAAAAGCCCAAACACAAAAAAGCAAATAATCCATATCTTGAAAGTAAAGTTTTTTCTATAAGTACCACAGATTTAAATAAACTCCAGATATCTGTTCAGACATTTTCCTCATTAGTTTATTGTTTGACTCGATTGTTGCAGGGCGGTTGGAAGCGACTGACTGTTCTTTTAGACTTCTAAAACACGCAGTTAATAAAATGGCCTTAGAGTATAGTACAACATGAAGGTATAGAGTAGCTTTAATTACCCTTTTCTCTGTTTTCATCTGTTGTGCATATCTACTTACAAAAGGTAATACAAAGCTTTAAAATTATTCTAATAAAATATTTAAGATATTGACGGTGAAACTATCTGAGATAATCTTGGGTTGACAATCTGTAATCGATGAAACGGATGATGATTGAAAATGTAACGCAAATCTGGGTCGCAACAAGATTTCAACCACCAACCTCCTCATTACTAGTTCGGTACTATGACAGCTGACCTACTTGACCTCATTTGACTGACTGAGTTTCAACATAGAACGTCTCATAGAAGTGCAGGAGTTAAAGTTGATACACTATATAATGATTAGAAATGTTCGGGAAAAGGAATTACAACATAGAAAACATTAGAGTGAATGCATCTGAGAACGATTTTAGGCCATATTACCAGTAGTCTCCAGCCACTGGTTCTTAGCTGCCAGAGGAACCCAATCAGGTAGTCCACCGGATTGACCTACTTGAACTAACTGCTATCAGGTAGTTGTTGCACTGGAATCACCTCGGGAAATATCCGGTTGTCACGTGAATGAATGTCTTGTTACTGGCTGTTTGTCATCATGGTTTCTGTCCAACTAGGTCTTCTCCTTTCAATCTTAATCATATAGTGAATTAAGAGAGAAGCAAGCAAATTGTGCTGAGGGTGAAACAATCTGAGATAGTCCCGGTTTGGTAGATTGTAATTCACGTAATGTTCCAGTAAATAAGCAAGGATGCTTCTACTCACTTATGCTGAATTTATATATTTATTAAAACACAGACTTTGTACATTATGGGCACCAATAGATGCGCCTCTCAGAATCTCAGTTTATGTGACGACTCGGATATACTACCTGTTCTCCCAGACCGAAGCACGTAGTTGTCTTAAGCCCCCCGCAGCCCTCAACTTAAAATCTGATGCACAAGGTAGTGGAGCAGGGTCAGAAACTGTGTTCCAGTGATTGATCGTTACCTAAACAGATCCAAACACCATTCGATGTTTTCGGATTCTGGAGCTCATGTACACCCTGGGTTTGGAATCAGAGTTTTCCAGGTCTAGGTAGGCGAGCGTGTCCACCAGTACAGTTGTACGCGTGGGACTGTTGCACTCACCCTTTCACTTTTATAAGGGACGCCTTCGTGGCGTGAAGACAGTGAACAAAACTTACCTGGTAAAGGCTATGGACGAATGGGCATATGAGAGTATTCTGAGAAGAAGACCAAAGTCTACTCACCTTTGGCCGTATCTTGCCGTTTGTGGGATCACTTAAGCTGTATAAAAAATCTGAGATCATTAGATTTTTAACTTCAGTTATTGTTGTTATGTATTGTTCTCAAGTGAAGGCGATTTTCAGTCTGCATTCTGCAGTTAAATAATGGATAGATTAAAGATGGTGATAATAGTAATAATAATAATTGCTTCACTTAGGGTTTTAGTCAGCATACTAAGTATTCTTACTATCTCCATGCTTTATTAAAGTGTTCATCAGTGCAGAATAATCTTTTCCCCTTCTATATTTTCAACTGACTGAGCTCGAAAATATTTGAAAAAGAAAATATTTTCATAAATTTCCATACCCTATGCTTATTTTTCTAAGACTTATTTTTTGTTTACATTGATCGTGATGCCTGCCTACTTGCTTCACTATGTGAGAGATAACAGATTTTTTAGATTTTGTCTTTTCACAAATTGTTTGCTTTTTTTGTTTTGTTTTTTATAGTTACACTGAAACTCGGTGAACACAACAATGAAGAATATCACTTCTCCTTGCCTACAATATATGCTCGATCAATATTGACAGTTCCATGGGTTGAATTCGGTGATAAAGTTTCCATCACTTGTCCACAAACAAATTATTCAGCTACAGTTACATTTTTAACAAAAGTAAGAGAAAAAGAAAATTTGGTTTAATTTTGTTCCCTTCTGGATTTATAACGTGGATTGCAATATCCTCTGTGCTTTGAAGTGATTTAGCCGTTCTTTTATCCGACTTCCATGATTGTTGTATAAGTTATATTTCAGTTTTATAGCTGATAATTTGGGATTCTGATAAATCGGAGGCCTATACCACAATTCTAAGTATTTGGTTATGAGGCATCTAGCTAAATCAACTCATGATGGGATGTAGCGTTTCAGGAGGAACAACCTAGAATCTAGAAGATGGAAAATCGGTAGCAGTGTTCCTCAGTCTCACAAACAATCTACTCTCTATATAGAAATGAAATGTAAATGATGTTTACGCCAGAATCAGTGGATCTGTGCTACTGCATAATTCACATAGTCTATGAGGGGTCCCAAGCGGCTGTTAAGTACGATGGCAGGTGTGGTAAAGACTATATAAATGAATCCCTAAAAAGATCAGATACGGAGATTGATTAAGAATACCCATTAATGAACAAAGAATATTCTTTTCGATAACTTCATCAGGTTCGACAGTTATATATCCATAATAATGAAAGAATTATTATCATTATCAAGACTAGTGTTTTTTAAAAAAAATAACAGAATTAATTATATCAAGCGATTACAGTTGAAAAGCACCTGTAAGTGATAATGTGCATCAATATAACACTAGACTAAAATATCAGATAAATTATGGGAAGTGATACAGTATTTATGAATTTAGATTCCATAGCAGACCAGGGTAGCAGTTGTGGCTGGACCTGTTTCTTCGACACACAGAGCTCCGGTTGTTTTAAGCGAATTGCAATGGTCTCTGTTATTTGGAGTATTTAGTACTTAGAGGTCTATGGTAATTTATTTGGTACCTGATAGGTGATAGAAAAGTCTCTTCAGTGATAGCTTGTTAGTGGCTTGTTTGAACAAGGTGGTCTAATATCGAACTACTGATCGTTTTTACTAAACCTTTGTGAAAAATATATTGTATTGCTTGATTTATACATGGTTATTCAATGAGTATAGTATATGTGCAGAGTCCAGTGATGTCGTTTTATTAGATTCACACAAACTTTCCCATTGTTTACGATGTGGTTTCGTTGATACTTTTCCACACACACCATTAAGATGCCCCTGTGTCAGTGTAAATGTCGAAACATTTTGAGTATGAATTTCACTTGGCCACAAGTATGATGTGTTGGAGTTCAGTCACTAGATCAATTAAGAAGAGCTTTGTGGGTCACATTCATATGATAGTCTCAAAAGGTGCAATTGAGTTGAGTGGATAAGATGAATTGTTAAGAAGCATTTAAACAACTCTAACTGCAAAATTTACACTCCATTGTTATTTACCGTGGAGTATTTTACAGATGATAAAGAATCATCTGTGATTTATTTCGTCAATTTCATTGACAAGTGCATCTTAGCAGTGCTTGACTAACTAACTCGAGGAAATAAGTGTTATGAATCAGCAGTTAACAGCTGAGCAGTAGAACTTAACATTCAAAAATGTACATAATTAATGAAGCTTTTAATTGGAGTTCAGTGGTATGAATAATCAGCAGTAGAGAAACAATTACGAGACTATTCAAATAAAGAAAGTGTCATTGGTCTTCTCGCAAAGCACTTCTTTTAAGTCAATAAAATTCATTTGGAAACGATAAATTTCAAGAAGTGAAATGGTTTACGTGTATCACATTTATGGTCAAGATAAATGAATTGGTTGACTTTCTAATGTTTAGGAACTCCTGAGATTTCTACAACGTCTTTAAATTCACGAACGCGTATAGTAAGTGGAGGAATCTTTCTTTTTCAGCGTAGAAGCAATATTTTTTGTTTGATATAACACTGTAAAGACTGATAAAACTGTCTGTTTGATAAATGGATAAAACCCTCTTTTCTATGCATTTTGTATCATTCCTAATCAAGTAAACCAACTTGATGAAAAAGCCATTTCATTCAGTTGGTTTATCAGCTTAGATTTTATTCTTCAGTAGCTTTTGCTTTTTTTCTGTATGTATGAACATTTGTTGACCTGAAAAGAGAGAAATGAGAAGATTCTCATTTTTTCTTATTGTAGTACATGACCAGCCTTAGTCAGAGTTGCATTCCTCGTTAGAGGAATAAGCTGCAAGAAAGCAACAAAGTCACTGACTGATTTCAATCTGATAAAATGGTATAGGTTGTATAGTCGGTTTTTAACATTTTAAAACCCTTGACTTGTCTTTAAAGTTGTATGTGATATGTGTATTCATGCTTTACCTTCATCTTGATTACATTCTTTCATTCCCTTATTGTTACTCAGCCGAAAGCCTCACACCTTAAAGTTTTTGCTTCGTGGTGTTCACCTTAAAGATATATCAAGAGACTTTAAGAAAAGAAAATAGATTCTTAACAAATTATTTTGATGCACTAAAATCACGTTTTAACGAAAGATTTGATTAAGCGGAAAGATGAATATACCTTATCATATTGACTCGTCAGTGGCACAGCAGTAGAATGCTCTATCCCCGGCCGATGCACTCCTTCTTTCCTCGTTAAATCACTATTAAAACTGGTAAAGAGGGTAGGTTTGGCGTGAGGCTAGCAACCTTATTCCGTAAAAATAAATACCACTGCTACCGAATCTTCAAGCTTCTAGCTTGAAGCCCTATGTTCCATTAGGAACGCAAAGGAATAAAATAATAAAACAATCGTCCAGCACTCCCAGGTTTTCCAATTGTCTTCCAACTGATGTCAGCTCATGATGAAATATTGACTCGTCACTTGAGAGTAACTATTTTCATGTATCTAGTCCTTTGGATTGATGCTTTGACGAAGATGATCACGAAAACATGGCGTGTCAGTTCAGTCAGTCAATATACAGTGTATTCATCAATCTACTGTCTTCACCATCGCAGTGCACTTTCAACTGCTGTTAGGTGGTTGCAGGCGCTCGGCAGGAAGCTCTGGATCTACATTTCTCTCTTAGCAGCCCCACATCGGCAACAAGACATCATTTCCTGCCAAGATTACAGATACATCTTGCTGACTAGTCCAGTAAGCAAGAAGCGTAGGCCCAGGGTTTTCAGTAGATGATCTGCAAACATCTAACATGTTCATTGTTTATTATGTCTTCTTGTATAGTTTTAAAACAGTCAGTATGTAGGTTCTAAAACTAATATTGAAAAACCAATCTAGGTGTGTTGAGCTAATTTACAGTGAGTTCAAGTTTCAGTTAAGTCTTGAAGGTAATACCTTTGAGAAATCAAGACTCTGAATAATGAACAAATCAGAGTTTTCTTGCGTTTACTCATTATGTTTAATTGTTGTATTATCTATTTCATCCAGTGTTTTCATAAATTATAGTCAATTATTCTTTTGGTTATTATCAGCCTCATTATGGTGATAAACTCCATCGTATTAGTGGAGAGATTTATGAGGTTTCAAACTTTTCTCAAACTGGTTCCGACCGTTCATCTAAACGATCTGGATCCCCAGTCAGTCCACTTGGTAATGTGAATCTAATAGCACGTGTTTCTGGTGAATGGAATAAAACTATAGATTTCGAAGTGTTCAGTAAGGTAAGTCTTGATTATGGTTTACTCAAATTGTATGTTGTTTCTAATGCTCATCGCTTATTCTTTTTTAATTATCTGTTTAAGAGTTAAGCATTTATTGCCAGCGATTTATTGGTTCACAAAATGAATATGCCAAATATTCTAAAATTGACAAAGAAGTCGTTATTTTCTGGTATCTAGGTAGTCGACCTTGACCTTTTATAGTTTTAGAACAATGTTACCTTATCTAGTAAATATTGTCTACTAAGTCAGTATAGGACAATAAACGACCCAGCTTAACTCTAACTGTGGAAGTATATTGTGTGTGTATGTGTGTGTGATGCCTTCTGCAAGAATCTTGAGTAACAAAATTATGGATTAAGTCGCAAAGAGAAGAAGTGAATATCATTGTGATAGAATGTAAGAAAAATGGAAGGAAGACAAAAGAAGCTGAATTTGGAGAACTTTTACAGGTGAAAACATCAATATAAGGCCTATGTATTTTGCCATCAATGTACATAATTTGCCAAATAAACAGTTCTGCTACTAAGCATTACCGTGTTCTGCTGTTTCAGTGATAGTTAACTAGTTACATGCATGAAGCCGGAAAGTGTGTTCAAATTAATGTGAAACAAAACGAGGAGTGTAACCTAACTAAAATACAGCAGTTAGATCTACACTTTGGTAATCTAAATCCTCGACGCGGAATGTTAGCTGACATAAGATCAGGTTGGGAAAGAACTAGTGGTGGTTAAACCAAAACATGGCATCAGTCAATGAAATCCACAACAGTTAGTTTGAGCCACTTAGGGAGGTGTACACTTCTTGGTTGGGGTCCTCGTGATAGTAAGAACCAATGACTGGAGACAGTCGGTGATATGGTTCAAAATCGTTCTCGAGGGCGCAGATGCATCCACTCTGTGATTTATCGTATCCAATAAGATTTTATTTTTCTTCCATATTACTATTCTTCTTGCTTCAGTTACACTTCTGTTTATTATCTCTCTTTCGAGTCTCTCTTTACTCTCTTCTCTTGCTTTGTGTGCTACATGGAGTGTGGCAACTCAAAATGCTGCACGTCTGTACAAAGTTCTATGTTGAAATCAGTCAGTCAATCTAAACAGTTAACTTACAAAGCTTACATTTGTTCTAGAACCACTGCTCGAAACCAGTAGTCCTCTTCGACTACAGAACCATAAGCAAGATTGATAATGCTAGTTCAGCTAGACGATTTTGCTGTTTTTCAACGAATTTCCTCACAAGCCTTAGAAAACTTTTATCACGGAAGGAGGCATCTTATGTGGAAATTTAAATGTGAAAAATTAAAAATTTTTCTAATTCAGATTATCATAAACAAAATAAAGACAATCTAAGGTGGGGTATTTTTCAATCAGACCTAAATCACAGTATTCATATTTGTTAAAAACCATTGCATATTTATGTCTACAGTATTTAGTTTTAGTGATTCTAGGATTGCGTAGCTGTACTAATGATTCGTTTAAAGTGTGAATATCAACTGTAACCGCGATTACAAATATCCCCATCTCAATTCAATTCACACAGATGCATTGACACAACCTCGAATGATATCTAGGTAACTACAATTTCGTAAAAGAAACTGTCTAGAAAAAGTAAGAAGGATAAGAGGCTAATTTGTCTAAAATTAAATGAATATCAGTTTTTAGAGTTGTTAACTCTTTTTCTCTTTCTTGTATCCAAAGATTTTAAACATCTTTTTGATTTAAATGAATGTGGATACTCTATTAGAGAGTGGCTAAAATATACTTCATTCAAGTTCCTTGTAAATGACTTATGGTGAACCAGAACGACGTCTGAGGTATTTATTCACACCACTAGGACACGCGACAGTATATGATTAGATGGTTTGGAAGCAATGGACAGGAAGCCTTAAAATTAGGTTTTGTGCGTGTTGACACTCGTCAGCAAGGCGTACCTGAGACCTTCGAAGAATTCATGTCCCTTCTCAAATACTTACCCAGTGCTGCATTCGAGGACGTTGGCGCTGAGCTATTGGGGTTCGTGACCAACCTCCTGTAGGAATATACTATACACTTTGATTGGGCACAAGTTAGTACCTATTGTCATATGTATGGCACTTCTTTTGGGAAAGACTTAATCCTGTCAGCCCAGTTTGTAATATGGTCACCATGTTAGGTGACTCACTGTCACTGTGCACTTTCAATTGTTTTTAGATAGTTGGGTAGAATTCAATTTATACCAAACGAAGAACTATATGCATGACATTAGTTGCTTACTACCTATCCTCCAGTCAGATAGCAAGATTATATTCTTGCAGGAAATGGGCATAATGACCAAAAATTACAGTTATTTATATAGTAATTTGACATTATTGGTAAAAGATAAATTAATAAATACTGTATTTTGTCTGGTTAGGAACGTGACGACAAAAATTCAGTGACACAACCTTTCATATCTAGATCGAAGTTTACTTGTAAAACATTAACAATATGTTTCCTCTTTATTTTAACATTGAGAAATTGAATTACAATACCCGCACCTCCCTCTGAATTAAGAAAACTGCATAGCTGGATACATTTATTTCTCGTGGATATTTAATTCTTTTTATTTAAATCTCATGTTTAAAACATTTCTTTTTAGAATTCTTATAAGTGTTCAGTGGATGTCAATAAATTACCTGTATTTCAAAAGCGTATTCGTCCTATAGAATGTCAACAGCCTGAAGAATCTCGTCGTTTGTGGCAGAATGTTACTAATGCTCTTGAATTAGGAAAGTTTGATTTAGCTTTAGAAAAGAAACGAGAAGTGAGTGATATCACGCTTTTAACTTTACTTTTATCTCTATATTTAATGGTTTCTTTTCGTAACAAGGAAGCTTAGTTCTGCAAAGATTTTCTGCTTTTGATTGTTCAACAGTACAATGTTCGCCCACCACACACGTGATCCGAGTTCAACTACCAGCGGACACATTCCTAAAAATCGCCTAGTTGACTAGCTGACAGTAAGTCCGGAGAAGAGGGGGGAGTTGTGCGTGAGTCTAACAATCTCACCTCGTAAAATCAACACCACAGATGCTGAAAATTCCAAACCTAAAAGCCCTACATTCAACTCAGAACATAAGGAAGGAAAAAAACACAAATATTCTCTGCTTGTAATTGTCGTTAAAGTATTCCATAAACATATGCATACGGACACCTGTCTCCCTGGAATGTCTGAATTACTAATCAATACTAATTATTTATATGTCGATTGTAATTAATGTATCTGTGGATTAGTCCTTATAGCTATTACTCGAGAATTTCACCACCTTTATTCATTCAGTGTGATTCTAAACTTTATGATAGCGGTACTTCTTCTGTTATTCATCTCACTGGGCTTATAAAAGAAAACTGTCCTGTTAGAGAGGACGTATTTTAAAAAAACATAACCTGTTTATTTTCATTCTGTCTACTTACTTCTTGTGTCACTAAGTTCTCGTAAGTCCAACTACTTCATGATTTTTTATCAGTTATTAGTTGCGATCATTGATGTACTCCTACTGTAGTATTGTCTATAATGACTTATTTGCCTGTGCGTGTATCAAGAGCAGTCACTTCACGATAGAAACTCTAGGTAAAAATGCTCATCCACTATTTGGAAACTAGATAGTTCAAGGTGAAAATCCGTCGTAGTTTCCTTCATAAGATCAAGACATTCAGACCAAAATACAAGATCCTTTTTGATACCACAAGTGGAAATCAAGAAAGCAAACATAATTTCAGGATATGAGTGGTTGGAGTACGAGCGTTTGAATATTCTGTTTGCATTACCATAATATTCTTATTCAAGCTTCTTTTTGTCATTTTTGCTGTTATCAATATTTTCGCTATCAATAATCAGATGTATGGCTTGTTCCCTAGTCAACGTCAAATAAAAATTCACTATTATAAATTATATAAAATAATCACAGAATGTTTGAGAAAAATTAGAACAAAATTCTTCTGAACGTTTCACTTTGTAGGCCACAGCTTCTTCAGCAGAATTATTCAAATTTTATTCACCATCAAAATAAATAGTCGAAAATTACATAAAATGAAGTGAGTTCCTTTGACGGTCACTTGTCGGTAGACACTTGTACCAACAGAAAAGTATACACAGTCATCACATATTTGTAATCACTAATGTCAAATTGTCATATGTGCTTATTTGTCTGTGTCAGTGTGTGCATGTTGTTGGTTATGTGGAAAAAAAATCCGATCCTATATTATGACCACTGTGAAATATTATCATGTTTGGACGCGTTTTTCCGCAGTAAGGTGTCTCTTCAATAGACTTCAACGAATAGGCATCGTAGACACACTTGATGAGGAAGAAAGAAAGTTGACACAAACTCTAGTTGATAATTATTATCCAGACAAGTTCATTAGGAGATATAAAGTAGCCAGAACATCAAGACACTCTCCAACTCACCGCTAGGAAGGATGTGTACATCAGGCTACCCTATTCGGGTGATCATAGCAGCTTGACAACTAGACAAAGATTGAACGCTGCGGTTAAAAAGAATTTTTATGCAGCTAAGGTCATAATAGACCCTTGTAACATGCGGAAAATGATGTCACATCCCATTGCATTTACCAATTTGATTGCACGTGTGGCCACACATACATAGGTAGGACTCATCGATCTCTGCAAGTAAGGGCTTCAGAAGCAAATAGAATCCTCAGAATTTATTAATGGTGAGGACGGACGACCTAGCTCCTCTACTGCGATAAATATTATAATTAATTTCTCGTCAGGTTCTTACAATTATAAAATATAATGATTGTTGTCGTTACAATAATGGACGGTTATGCTGTGGATACATTTTTATGTAGAATAACAGATTAATTATGGGTTGACAAAATAAATAGTATTTGTGTGACAAATGTGCTAGGCTGAAATCAATTACAAAGTACTGTGAAATGAGAGACAATGGTGGTGATTAGTCATAACAGATTCGTAGAATGTGGGATAGGAAAAATTGACAAGTCAGTTCAAGGTTATCAAAGGTGTCAGGTGAGTGGCTAGTACAAAATAGTATATATATTAAAGAGAAGATAGTAAGACTGCAATGAGAGGTTCATCATGAAATAACCAATGTGTGAAATGAAACAGGTGGAGGCATATATTAAAAAAGAGATAATATCACTAATAATAAGTTCGGATAGTATAAATGGAAAATTCAATAGCATTGAGAGAATGTTTGAACGAAGGGTGTAAATTATGATGAATAATAATAATTGTAATAATAAGCAGAGAAAAAAACCCGAGAGGGTTAAGGGGAAGAGGCATTCTTGGTGAGAAGAAGAATCATTAATCCAAGTTTGGCCACGGTAGTAGGAACAGCGTCTGGACGTGTTATCTTCGGACACAAAGTTCCGGTTTAGTCTATCTTATTGCAACGGCTTCAGCTATGTGTAGGAGACGTAAGCGAACTGTATGTGATAACTACCTCAGAATTTGGTATATAACCCTGAAAGCTGTGTTGGCATCGATGCGATGTCCAGTCTCGACCAAGTGTGATAGAATCGAGCTTTTTATGCATTGATTTTCCCCCTTGCTCAACCAAGCTGGTAAATGTTCTCGAACCCGTAGATGAACCTGCCTAATCATGCTCCCTATATAACTTGAACCACAGGAACAATTGAAATGGTATATGTATGACGAAGAGCTAAGTTTAGGTAAAACATCTTTCAGTTGCTGGATGAACATTAGATGGCTACTGAAGGGTAGGAACAGATGTGCACAATAGAAAGCTTTCTCTATCGCCTTGGTTAAACGTTGCGATAGAATCTCTGCAGGAGTATCTCCCTTGAATTGTAGACGTAAAAATAAAGGCTTTTTCTCACTTTTGCCAGTTCATGTTTACGATTATTGTAACCTATGTTGGCTTTAATGAACTTCTCTGGATATCCGTTCTCGCTCGGAATATCCCGGATGATCTGGAGTTCTTTCTCTACACAATTTTCGAAGCAAATGGACCTCGCCCTAAATGATAAGCACGTAATCACGTTGCGGTGGTGTGATGCGGACAATGTGTTTCAACGGACTATTATTCTCACATATTCCCACAGTGCAATACGGTATTAGCAACAGAATACGATATATCCATTTGAACATTCTATTTGCTATTAGAGACAGAATACTTTTCACACAGTTCAATACTGCGTTAGCAACAGAATACTATGTATATTTGAAGATTCTATTTGATGTCGTTTCATGTCAACCAAAATCACCGCTGAATGATTGGTTGACGAATATAAACTGTATATATAAACAGCGGTTTGATGAATGAAAAATATTCCTTTGCTTCCATATCTTGCCTTCTCCTGTGACAACATTACGTTTGTATTTCATCGGTACGAAGCTAAGGAACTGTGTATACTGAGCTTTGATCTCTAGCTTTCTAATTATGGTTCTTTTGACTGAACGATCCTGTCTTCTCGTTAGTTGGACGTCGAGGAAGTGCAGAGAGTCGTAGCATTCTCCTTTTTAGCTGAAATGGACCCCTAGGTGAGCATTATTGAAGTTGCTCAAAGTTAAATCACTACGTAATCCTTCATCGTACACTACAAAAATTGTCATTCATGTAACGATGATACATTTCCTTAGGACTTTTCGACCACATTTATACTCTGGTTTTGTCACTATTCAAAAGGTCTGAGCAGAAACACCAATACATAATGTAAGAAGTACATATAATGGATGATTTTTGAAAGTACTACTATTCTCATTGAGAATTCGAATTCATCTTTTATAACATGGTTGAAGACAGCTGACATGAACCTCTTTATCTAGGTTTTGTGCTTTGTAGAACTCGTCAGCAAGGTGTATTCTTATGTCCGATAGAATCATGTTTCTTAGGTGATTCAAATCGACGTTACCTAGTGCTGCAGTCAGATGCGTTGCCAGTAAGCCTTGCTGATGAGTGCTTACAAGTGCGAAAATGAAGTGAAGAGCTTCCTTTCCATCGTCTCAAATCATCTAGTAATAATTAAATGTGCACTGTGATGTCTAGTCTCTTAGCTTTGCTGACCACTTTGGAAAATTGACTGATATAATTCAGCCAACACCATCACCGTGGACGTTGACATGACATTTTTGCTACACCTATACCAGCTTGAACAACCAAGATCCCTTGCATAGTAAATGAGGCTCATTGCCAAGTACATGAAAATACAGGCAGTCGAGTTATTTTCTCATTTCAGACACATGACACTGTTTGCACTGCAGGGACTAATTATTATAGTCCATCATGTATTAAATATGAGTGTTTGTTCAGTGAATCAGTTAGGCTCTTCTGTATTGGACAGTTTTCAGGGTTTGTTTAGCATTTCACCTTTTTATGCCACAGTCTAAATGACAGGCCTTGTTTGAATCTTCGGCCGAAGTCATCTTTGATTAATCTGATAACTAGTAAATCAATATTATGTATCTACTATGTTTTTTGTTGTTTTTAGCTTGAAGAACAACAGCGAATTAGTGAGAAGTATCGTACATTGTACAAATTTGGTTTTCCAGTCAAATACTTCACGTGGGATGAAAGTGCATGGGTATTCAGATGGTAATTTAAAGTCAGAAATCATCAAAATGAACTTAAGCTGTGAATAGTACTGAAAAAAGGGAAATTAATATTTTCTATGCATTATCTTTATACCTTTTACTTATATTGTTCATTACTTTAAAGAAAATAAATTCTTTATATTCTCTTGTTTGTTTATGCGATATCCTTTATTTGTTGTTTTTTTTTGTTTTTTTCTTTCTTTTGAGATGTACAACTACTTTCGCAGTTATTAATAATAATGATAATAATAATAATTTTGAAGTAAAAATTGCATCTTGACAGTCTTTCATGTTTGTTTGAAACAGCGGACAATTTGCAGATTATTAACTCTTGCTAAAAAAAGGTTTGTTACAAAAAATCCAATAGTTTGGTAGTGATTGAATAGGCGATTTGAAATTTACACAGTTCGAGGAGCTTAATCAAATCAGCTCGGCCCAAAACGGCCGCCCGGTGTTTACATCACTTTGATCTCTCCAGTAAACACCACTGCTCGGTGTGAGTGGTATCCAGCTACTCCTATCAATCAGTAGTATGTAACGTCATACATCTATGAGCGACTCATGTACATTTTGAGTAGCTATTGATGTATATCAGTAGTGCAAAAGCTAAAATTCACCTTCCTTCAGCATACTGACTTCATTTAGTTACAGCTTATGTCGTTCCAAATGCATGAGCAGCCAATGAGATCGGCCACAAAGTAATAAGGCACAAACATAGTTGATTCGTACGAATTGCGTTGCTAATTTCATTCTTCTTTTATATCTCAGCATTGTTTGTTTAATTACTTTATATAAGGGAGTAGAACATGTCAGTGTGGTGTATCAGTACCAATCATCTTGTGCGTCGGTGGCACAGCGGTTAGGACCGTCGCCGACCATGCACATAGTCCGGGGTTCGATCCCCGGCGGATGTACACCCGATATCAATGGTCGGCCTGCAAAATTGGGCTACCGATATCACATGCTGAAAATTCCATACTTGTACCAAAAATATGGTGTGGAGTCAAGCTATAATTAAAAAAAACTGTGTGCGTGGATGAATGGAGTAGTTACAGACAGCTACTATCATATGGCTACATTTACTACACTGTAAATCATTCTTCTGTTTCGTTGGTCCATCGAATGGGATGTACACCAACTTTATCACAAGATTCTTAGGCATTTGGAGAAAAAGATTCGAGCGATAAATGGATCATGAAGTGATATGATGGTATATGGCCGTCTGGATGAATTCATTCACAAAAAATTGGTTTGAATTAATAAGAACTGCTTCAGTGATGAACTGGGAAACGTTTCTGGAAATGTGAGAGATTATTATCCTACATAACTATGTTTTCCACTACAGTCACACATGAAGTCTATCATGAGGCCGAATAGCTCAATGGTAACGTGTCTTATTGCAGCACCGGGTGACCAGATCTCAGAATGCACATGAATTTCTTGAGGATTTTAGGTACGCCATACTGATGAGTTCTAGCCAACGCGAAGTCGACGTTCGAGGCTTCCTGCTGAACCAGCTAACATTTACTTTTTCTATTCAGATAAATACCTTTTTACTGTGCAGCTAATCTGATTGGTTTTTCAAAGTTATTTAGTTTGTCGTAACATTTGAGACTGCATATTTTAGTGCAACTGCAATGTTGTTCTTGAAACAAAAAACACATTCAACGAAGAGGGATTCTCATGAACGAATTTATTTCCAAATTCCCATTTATGTGTTTAGAAAAACAACAGATTGTGCGAAGAAATATATTCCTTTTCCAATTAGTTCCTCATCATCAGCTCTACACTAATATATAGTTTTTTTTTACATTAAAATTTTACCAATCAAGTGGTTATTTTAGTTAATCCGTTCTAGGTATACGACGGGGGAATTAAGAGGTTAAAGGTCATCGAAACAATTAACTAATAAATGTTAGTAACAATATATCTAAGTTTTGAACGAGGGGTGAAAACCGATTAATTACGAAATTCAAGATAAGTTAATTCTTAAACACTAGCAATAAGTTACTACATAATCAAGAAATTTGTAAAATAATGATGACTCAGAAGAGTTACGTAAAATACAAACAAGTTAATGGAATTAGCTAGAATTGTAAAAAAATAAAAAAAAGTCAAAAGACAGTTACAAGGGGAGGGAATGGGAGGTAAAATCCTTTTTAAGAACTCATTATATATTAAGTAGTTGGCTATGACAAAGAAAGGGATTGTACAAATTTCTTTTGAACACACAGATTTGGCTTACTCAGATGAATTCTGATTGCCTCTGTTGTATGCAGAAGTCGCACTCGTAGACCACGAGAGAGGTTGGGTGATGCAGGATAAGTAGCTTCTAAAACTTTGTTACGGTCGACTTGATGTCCAGTGTCGACGAGGTGAGCTGTATTGAGCAGCGTAATTAATTTTTACGCCTCCTCCAAAACTTAAATATCTTGTTACTAACATATACCCCTTAATTTCAACCGCACCCTCCCCTCCGCGTACCTGATTCTGACTAACTAAAATAACCACTTGATGAGTAAAATTGTGATGTAAACAACGATATGTTAGTGTAGAGCCAGCCGATGATGAGGAACTAATTGAAAACGAAATTATTGTCACTGTTATACTAACATTCTACTCATAAATCTATTTCGAAAAGTAATGAAAGTGGTTAGAAGTTGTCTAGACATTTAGAAAGTATCTATAAATTGTTATTCACTTGTTATTTGGGTTATTATAATTTGGAAAGTATGAAATTGAGTTTACTTATGTGAAAAGTATTTCAAATTCATCTAAGATACAGTTTTTAAGATCGAAGACGCCTTGTTCATGAATACTAGTGGCATAAGAAAGGTAAGTACATTGATTATAAATATGATAGTACTAATTGGTAAGGAATATACGATATTTTCAGACATCATAATTGATGGTAGCAAAAATTGTTATTATTCTAAGAAATATTAGAATCACCATCTTATCTTCCCTGACGCTAACTCGTATCAAACAAATAGCACAACGGTGCAAATATCTGCCAACCGGCCTGCTGAAGCTTTTTATACTCATGATACCTCCACATGAACAAATCCTCAATAAATTGTAATTACAACTGCGTTAGGGCAAGCATTTGACTCGAATCTAGCGGAATAGAATATTCAACTCATGTGTACGAAACTCATTGGACCAGTCAAGGTCAATGGTGCTGTCGCACTCCATTAGCAGTTAGGGTTGCTTTTGAAGTTTAACTTGGCCCTCAGAAGATATTACATGAATAAAAGTGCAGACTAACATTTTATAGGCAGAATTATGATGTGAACTTGTAGGTTTGCTACTAGTTTTAAGATATGTAATTTAGGAATTGCAATCACAAGGTCGATATATGATTACTCATAGGGTTGTTATTTATGGTAAATATCAAGAATGATTTTTTGGTGATACCTGATGTAGTTATTTTTTACAGACAAGTGATTGATCTCACATCTAGTTCTGATGAATTCCAGAATGTATAAAATGAATGCTCACATGACATTAATCGTCTACAAGTATCCAGAGATACCTGGTATTTCGAAGTTTCCAATTTTCGTTCTTCTAGTGATAATTCTTTTTATGTTCAGCCTTTGAGATGATAATATGTAGTTAATGAATCAATTGCTTTGAATCCGAAGGCCTATGAATTCCCTCGTTGTTGTCACCAGTTATGAGTCAGCTATTAACTTTATTTAATCATATTCATTCTAATATTCGAGTGGCGTTAGATTTAGAACTAAGCAACAAGTTGAGTACCCTGGATATTTCATTGATTAGGTAGGATGGTGACCAAAATTTTTCCAGAAGACATCGAGTGGATAGTATCTTCATTTCAACAGTTTTTTTCGTATCCAGTATAAACGTTCCTTAGTGAAATCTTTGTTTTCAAGGGCTTTTGTTGGCTTAAATTCACGGTGATGGAAGCTCTTTGGATTAGTCATATTCATGTCAACCTATCTGTACAGAAAATAATACATTTTATCTTCTGACTAACCTAGACTGCTTGACCTATTAATATATCATTAGTTGCCAGTATTCACTTTTATAGCTGATTTTATTTGTGAAACATTTTTATTCTGTTATTGTTAACCATGTTAGTTGTAACGTGATTGCCGAGAAACTACAAAATGATTTCATCTAGTAATATTTGTCTTCAGAATGCCTTACTTAAATTTATCAGAGGGATTAACTGTTTCAAAAACCATCTTCTTCTTCTTTAAAATGTCAATTACGTAACCGTTTTGGTTACGAATACTTCTTATTTTTTACTGATGCACATACGCATCTGATTTGACATCACTTCGTAACCGTGAGTTTCGGTAACAAAAGCTACAATAATTTCGGGTGCCGAAAGATTCCCGGTAACAGAATTCAGAGTCTTACGTGTTTTTGGCTAATCATTTAACATAATTCATACGAATTAGGTAGTACTTACAAAGTAATTTTGAAAATAAAACACGATCAACTTGTCGAGACCTAATATGAACGAGTAGGCTACTGCTATTGGAACTCTGTGACGTCATCAAATTTGGTAGGGGTTGATATGATGTGATAATTTTAATGCTGCCTGCGACTCAGATTCCATATGGGAAGGTGACCGATTACCAATATCTATTCTTGGTCACTCCTGACTTCCAAAGGCCAGGCAAATAATAATAGAAGACAGGTTGGTCCGAACTAGTGAGAAAAATCGAGGTTTATTATACAAAAATTCATTACATACAAATATTACTCTCTTCGGAAAGCTAAGTCAATATACAGTTAGTTTAGTTGGTTGCATAAGCATTATAATAAATATTCTACCTCGACCTGATGATTTAGATTTGTTCAAACTTGTTTTAGATGGTTTTAAGGTTAAACAAAATGAGGGGCATATAACAAGGTTTAAATTGTTTCACTTCAACTTTATCTAGGTAACTTCAGCTTTATTTTTTAACATGAAATTTATCCCGTGTACCAGTGTGTCGATTGTTTCACCTTACATCAGATATTGTGGAGCTATTAAAATGTTCCCGTTATCTGCGTAAACCAATCCTAAAAATGTGATATCACTACTATCTCTCATAATTTCTAGGATTTATTTTAATCCTTTGCTTTCAGAGTGAAACATAGACCTTCAGGCTTATAGTTTTGAAGTTTCAGTTGAGGTAGAGTTGTTTTTACAGAGTGAGGCTGCTAATCACACATCCGAGCTCCTCTCTTTATCGGGCTTACTACCGGCTACGCGAAGTTTAGAGAGTTTGTGGGCCTGGATCACATGGGGGTGGGTGGGTTGGCAAACTTTCTACCACTGAACCACTGATATTAAAATACAAACACAGTCCATTTTTGTAGATTAGGTAGTTTACATGTAAGAACTAAAGACGTCCCTGGAAAGTGTTCTTTTTATCGAATTTATGAAATATTTTATTCATTACTTACAAGTATTTTGCTAAAAAACTTGTGTGAAACAATTTGTAAGCATAAATAACTTTTTGTTTTTTTAATCCAAGTATTACGGCGTATCGTCTTACAAAGCCTACATCTGAGTAGTCTTTTCCAGATACAACTATATGACAGTTCATTTTTTCAATCATCCTATGAACTCTTCCTTTACACCATTTCAAATATGCAGCATATTGACTAGATAAGATAAAAAATGTTAATTTATAATATGTTACTGTAGTTTCAATTCCATCTGAAATATTCTCTTTAGTGTTGTATCGATATACATCTTTTAACGTTGGTTCTTTTAACTGACTTAATGATTTTTCCAATGGTGCTAATGCATAAAATTGTGGGAAACTTTCTTCAATTCGTCGTATACACAGCTCAATGTTCATACAATTCTCACCTATTATGTAAACCATTCTCATATATTGTCCTCGATGAAGGTGAGTCGAATTTGAAAGTTGTACAATACAATCTGTATTATTTGCTATACGTGTTAAACGTCTGTCTTTGAAGGAATTAAATGGCTTTGTATATTTTTCTTCATTGGGAATATAAAATCGATAACTTGTTTGCAAATGATCAGACAAATAATCAGTTTTATACGAACTTTTAAACAACAGATTGGTGTGTATTCCTTGGATTTGTGTCATTGTAATTGTAAGTCTTATCCTACTGAAATAGTTTTATCGATATATTCAAAATCTCTTTATCGATTAAACGTTTGGTTGACTTTCTGAATAATAATAATAACAGCTGTTCACAATTCCAATGAATACTGTAGATGAATTAATGGAGATATTTTGCTGGAAGTCAAAGTTAAGAAGTGTTTGGAAAGAAAATCCAGATCTTTTTGATGATGCTATGGCTCGAATACATTCAGAAGCTGCTGTTTTTGATGCAATTATACGTAGTAAAAATGCTACAGTGCCACCTTTAGAAAAAATTGCGAAAACAGTACAATTTCTTAAACAAAATAGTTTTTGGCGTTCTAATCCTTTCTCTTTAGTCACTGGTACAGATGATGATCCAGCACTTATCAGAGCAACATATCAATTACAAATGAAAAGTATAAGAGATCTATGGCAAAATAATAACAATGATACAAAACTATTTCAAAATATGGAAGTGCAGCCATTATTTTTAAAACAAGACTCTTCAATTAATATTCAAGAGGAAAGGATTAAAAATTGTTTAAAAAAGGGGGATTCATTTGTGTAACTGAGTAATAACAGAAGTAATTATATAACTGGTTATATATTCTTTTGCTTAAAATTGTGTGTGATGAACTCTTACTCAGTCAACTGGGAACCGGAAACTTCAATTCCGTCAAACATAAACATATAAGGATGAGAATATATAGATGCATGAATGTACTCATCTTTCTAACGCTTATTTCCAGTTATATGTGAATATTATTAAATATATTTGCATTATTATTTCACTTTAAAACTGCTACTTTGATTGATTACCTTTTGTTTTTGTTTTATTTCCGTAAGATGTAATTCTATTGTCATACATAATCTGCTGTAAACAAGTAATAATAGTAATAGTATATTTCAATACGAAATTCTGAATAATTTAAACAAAATTTAGTATTGTTATTGTTTAACATAGTCATCCTTCTTGTTTTTCTCCTCGTCACTATTTGATAATAATAATAAATCAAATTGATTTTTTAAAATATTTAGATAGGTGATTCCTTTTATGAATGTCAACACGTTGTGTAAATGTATGTTTAAATAAATTTGTATTACAATAGAACAAAGTGTTCGATAAACCGTGAACAACAGAAAATTATATTTCATTGTGAAACTTCGTCAGACATCGACATCTGTTAGAGGATAATTTGAAAACTAAGGAGCACTTAGCAGCTGTTTCGTCTTTGTTTAGGAATTCTCAGTAGTGCGCACTAACGACTTTCAGAAACGATTGAACCTAGGACCTTCGGATTACGAGGTGATTCAGTTGACAATTTGACCATGATCTCAATAATATGACGTCCAAAGGAATTTAATACTATCTCGGAAGTACGAAACAGATCAGTGTAAGTTATACTTTAGTAGTCTTTAAAATTAACTGTGTATTAACCCTTTTAAATTAATCTAAATGATACCTACTCATCTAAACATTAAAAGCTTCACAGAAAGGTTATGTTGTGTATCATATTGATGACATACTGATAGGAAAACGTATCGAGTAGTCAGTGTGCATTGTGACATATTCACCAGTGTTTATTGTCTAAAATATTACAGAGTGGAATTTTAGAGTCACCATTCTCAGATATCCGTCCGTCACTCTAAATGACGGTGAAGAACTCAAATTTACAAAATAATTCTAAACTAATTCTAACCAGTGCTTCGATAACGCCTTTACATGGTAAATAAATATTTTACCTACCTAAAATGAACCCACTATGTGCTGAAATAACTCTGTCCGTTCTTAAAAAGAGCACTGGACGCTTAATTATTGCGACGAAACCTTAAAAATATTATTTACATTATTAGAAGACGGAGATTATCTGAAAAATGTGATGTATTAGCGCTATACATTTCGAACAGTCTGATCACACACTTACTTGTCAAGTCAATATATATGGAAAAGTTAAATTAAACAAGGTGACAAAAAAAAAGAATTAAGAATAATTAACACAAACGTTTGGTAATCCAATCAAATAAGGATTACCAAGGTAGGTTAAGAGTAATAACAAACTGTTTTGAATACACAAGGGGGGCTTAAGTTTATGAATGGCTATAGCCTCAGCGTATTTCAGTAAACGTCCTTGACCGTTTTTATAGATGACCTTAAAGGCTGAGTTAACATCACCCTCACGTGCAACGTGCGATTACTCCTCCCTATGTATGTATGTCCACACACACACGAAAATTGGTTAAATTGTATGGGATGTGATATAATCACTTGTGCACTTTTGAGGTTTCCAGTGAGGGTGGGAGAGCATATCCCAAAGTGGTTAGGAAAACAGATGAATTGTGACAAGCCCATAGATGCAGGTGTCAGACTACCAATTTCGTCTATAGCTAAACATTTAATCGAGATGAACCATAAGGTTGATGTTAACTCAGCCTTTAAGGTCATCTATAAAAACGGTCAAGGACGTTTACTGAAATACGCTGAGGCTATAGCCATTCATAAACTTAAGCCCCCCTTGTGTATTCAAACTACAGACCTTCATTAACAGTTGTCTTCGCTCAATACTCAAGATCAGATGGCCAGAAAAGATCAGCAACAGAGATCTCTGGCGATGAGCGAACCAACCAGGAACCGATTGTGAAACAAATAGGCAGGAAGAAATCTAGGTGGATTGGATTGGTCATACTCTGAGGAAACCATCAAGTGACATCACTAGACAAGCCCTCGAGTGGAACCCGAAAGGGAAGTGTCGAGTTGGTCGTCCTCAGGTGACTTGGAGGAGGTGATGTGAAGAGGAGATGAAAACGTGTGGGCAGACTTGCAGCCAGGTGAAGACTCTGGCAGAGAACCAAACGCAGTGAAGACGCACGGCTGAAGCCCTATGTTCCTCTAGGAATTAAAGGAAACAATAATAATAATAATGTTGAAATCCAGCACTGAGTTTTAGTCTGTACGCTAAATCAAACCATTTCAGAACATAATCAGAATTTGCTAACTACAGAATGTTAGAGTTAGTTCAGAATTAGTAAGATTTAATTCAACATTATGTGCGTCGGTGGCACTGCAGTTAGGATGCACGCCGACTATGCACATGGTCCGGCGTTCAATTCCCGGTCGGCACACTCCTTTACCTCGCTAAGACTGGTAAAGAGAGAAGGTTGGGCAGGAGGCCAGCAACCCCATCCCGTAAAAATAAACTCTGCTACATAAACTTCAAGCCTCTAGCTTGTAGCCCTATGTTCCAGTTGGAACGTGAAGGAATAAAAAAAGTCAACATTATAGTATGGGTAACAGTAGATTGAGCAAAGCGATTCTAGCGAGCTAACATTAAAATGACTTTGACCAACCAGTCAGATGGGCCGATTGTGGAGGCACAGGGCATTAGCAGACAGTAGATACTGTAGTCAAATCACGTTGCTTTTAGGTGAAAAGTAGCATTTGTGGTACAAATGAGTATGTTTACTGAGCATATATAACAAAAATGGATTATATAGGGTGTATGTCTCTAATATGCTGTAAGATGACGTCTCATTTTTCCATTGGAGTGGCTATAGTGATTTACACCAACGTGCGTTTATGATCCATTTCAATTGTATCCACATTAACAACACAAGGCAAGCGATTCATTTTATAAATTAAACAAACTCTCTATTCACCTAACATTTAGTTTTCATATATCAACCTTACAAATCTGTAACACCAGCATTCTATAATAATAGTTATTTAGTCATTAGGTAGAAGTTGAATGATACATTTTTTCTTGATAAGAATTTATAAACCTGAAGAATAAAATTCTTGATAATTGACAATTTCACGAATTTTGATTGTGACTAACACGTAAAATACAACATGTAAAGACGTCAATTTTATAGTTTACCCTGAATAGCAGTGAGTGAAGGAGTTCTCATACAATACAAAATAAGAAACCATAAACATAATTTAAAAAGTATTATAGGCTGAAAACAGATCCAGCTCCTTCTGAGTTAGGGCAAAGAAACATGTATATATTGTTTCAAATGATAGTATACGGATTCTCAAACAGATTGGCAAGTTGTGAAATAGTTTGTAATATAAATGATCTTGTGAAATTGTTTCTATCACCCAGTAATCATAAACCTTATAATTGATCATCAGTTCTAGGGATGCAGTTTCTTTATCTTCTGACTGTGTGACATATGCATATTAATGTATTCGGTTTTGTAATATCCTAAAGGCGTAAATACGATTTTTACTGAAATAGCAATAATAATAATTCTTCATTTATTAATACTAGTCAGCGTCCTACTCTCAGAATAGTTGTAAGATTTCCTCTGTATTAAGAAAAAACACTTTAATTTGATGATATTAGATGGTTGGAGGCAATCGTCAGGAAGCGTTGAACCTAGCATTCGTGCTAGTTGGCACTCGTCAGCTGGGCATATCTGCAACCTTGAAGGAACTCATGTCCCTTCTGAGATTCGAACCTGCGTCACCCAGTGCTGCAGTCAGAGACGTTACCACTGAACTATTCGGGCTCGCGATTGACCTCCTGTAGGACTGTAGTGGATACTTTGTTTGGACACTAGCAAATAGTGGGATGTGTCTAGTCCTTTCTTTGGCGCAGACTGAATTCTATCACACTTTAAAAAGGATTAAAATCCTGCTGAACTATTTGCACATTTTTATAAGTACTTATAATTCAGAAGAGAAGTGGGTCAACGATATATCTTAACAAAGATGCTTATTTTACGGTCGTTATATTCGCGTATTAGCATAAATAATATGTTCAAATAAAGTATAATTATATTTTGATGGTTTACACACAATGATAAGTTTTGTTATTGGTAATATTTCGAGCAAAATTACTGCCCGTGTTCACACCACTGTTGGAATTGTTTTTTTTTTAATTGTTAACACGGGCAGTAATTTTGCTCGAAATATTACCAATAACAAAACTTATCATTGTGTGTAAACCATTGAAATATAATTATACTTTATTTGATCTATTCCACAATGCTCAAAC